GGAGAGTGTCCCTGAGGGATGGGAGAGTGTCCCTGAGGGATGGGAGAGTGTCCCTGAGGGATGGGAGAGTGTCCCTGAGGGATGGGAGAGTGTCCCTGAGGGATGGAGGAGTGTCCCTGAGGGATGGAGGAGTGTCCCTGAGGGATGGAGGAGTGTCCCTGAGGGATGGAGGAGTGTCCCTGAGGGATGAGGGGTTACCCTGAACAGGGCAGGGAACAGCCTGAAGGATTTTCCCCAAACAGGGTGGTTCTGGGAGGGTTCTGAAGGCCAGGAGAACATTTCAGAATGTTTTGGCTGCCAGCTGAGCGCTTCCTTCTCACCCTAAAACATCCCCTGCTGCCACCCCAAATCCGTTTGCTCCTGCCCCATTGGCTGTGATGTCCTTACGAGCTCAGCCTGGATCTGCACGTCCCAAGCTCGGTTTTTGGGGCTGTGTCACACCCCAAACGCTCACCATGCCCTGGGCTGAGGGGGGTGAGCATCCAGGTGCCCCCAAGGAAGGGGAGGTGTGTGAAATAGAGCAATTAAATCATAAATCCCCTCACAGCTCAGGGCCTGGCTGCCTCTGAGGTGCAGGACAGGGAGAAGTGGGACAAAAGGCTCATCCCCCCCCTCCACGCTGGCCACGGAGATAAGAGGATTTGGCATGGAGAAAAATAGCATTAAACTGGGCTTCCTTCCAGGCTGGCACATCCTGCTTCTTCCTGAAGGCTCAGGCCTGGAGGAATCTCTCCCAAAGGGTGGCACGTTGGGATGAGTCCAGCCTGGGGCTGCCATGGCTGATGGAATGAGTTCCAGCACCTCCCAGAGCTGGGACGCTCCAGCCCCCACCCCAGGCCAGGCTGCTGGGGAGGGCTTGAGGCTCCCCAAGGGCTGAACTTCACCCAGGAGGTGAAGTTTATTTGTTTTATTGCCCTCAGCCCTATAAAACACGGGTTCAGCTTTGTGGGCCCAGCTGATGCTGCCCTGGGGCTCACCCTGACCCCGAGTGGGCACGCAGCAGCCTTCCCAAGGGAGGATGGATCCCAAAGGAGGGATGAGCCTGGCCTGAATCCCCCTTGGGAGTCCTCAGGTGCCTGACCTGGATGTGCTGGACAAGCCACAGCCCCTCAGGGCTCAGATTTGGGGCCCCCAAAAGGAATTTGCTGCTGCCCTTGGATTCCACTCCTGCAGGGAAGGGATTCCTGCAGGGAAGGTTTGCCTGTGTGTGCTGCTCTCCCCTGATCCCCTCTGTGCTCTCCCCACAGCAGCAGCCACGGGGAACTTGCTGGATTTGGAGGATCCTGCCAGGTCCCCCCTGGGCAGCAGCACGGAGTCACCACAGCTGGACAACAGCAGCTTCGGGCCCGGCCCCTCGGTCAACAACAACGTGCTGTGGGTAAGGCACGGCCAGGAGCGCTCCTGCTCCCCTCCCAGGGCTTCTCCTGGGACAAACTGGGGGCTGGGGGGTGCCTGAGCCGCTCAGGGGTGTTCCCAGAGGTGATCCATGAGTGTTCAGGGCCTGCTGCCCTTTGTGGGCTCGGGGGATAAACTCACAAATGTGAAAAATGCTGCTGGCAGGTAATTCCTTCTTCTGGAGCAGCATTCTCAGTGGTTTGTCACTTAATTGAGAGAGCACCTAACTGCTCTGTTCAGGGGCAGAAATCATTAGGCTGATGGCTTTTGTTTACTGCTCGCTAAAACCCAGTTATATTTATGTTCATTCTTAAGTCTTATTTCTCCCTGCTCCTGTTGGTGTCTGTGGGAGCTTGGATGGCTTCTTGGAAACGTCCTCAGTCCTGTGGCTTAATTATTTCATGAGTCTGATGGAAGAGTGATGATGCAGCCCTGGGTGTGCATCCACCAGGGAGCCTCTCTGTGACCTGCTGCTCTTCAGGCTGGAAGAGGGTGGGGTTAGCTGGGATTTTGGGAAGGGATTGCTCCCTGGGAGGGTGGGCAGGCGCTGGCACAGGGTGCCCAGAGAGGATTTGGCTGCCCCTGGATCCCTGGCAGTGCCCAAGGCCAGGCTGGAGCACTGGAGGTGGGATTTAAGGTTTCCCACCCAAACCATTCCATGTTTCTCTGACCACAAACCCATGAAGCCCCACTTTTCTCTGGGGCCACAGCCCCTCTCTGGAGCCCCCCTGCCTGCTGGGTTTTGGGGAATTGCAGGATCAGGAATGAAGGGATTGCCTTTGCCTGGAGCCCATTCCTTGAGCCTGAGGCTTTTGGGTTAAACCTGAAGATCAGCTCTAAGGCTAAATCAAATCCTGGGGGCTTATCAGCAATCTCCAATCCTTCCCTGCTTACAGAGTTTTCATACTTTATTTATTAATTGCATTAAGTCTGTAAGTGCATCACAGGATTTTGGGAGCAGCCCTCGCACAGAGCGTGGAAAACCTTTCTCCCAAGCAGCTCCAGGGTTTTCCTGGGAGCAGAGCAGAGCTAAAGGGGCCCAGAGCTTCTTTTACTGTCCCTGCTGTGCCAGTGCAGGGCTGCCCTCCGTGATCCTGGTGCAGAAAAGCCCCAGGGTCTGCTGGATCTCCCTCTCCTGGGAGCAGGGATGGAGGGAAGGGGCCAAGCCTGGAGTTCACCCTTTCCCCTGGAGAGGAGGCAGATTGCAGAGGAGCCCACTGAAGCCAGCAGGCACCGATATTTTTCTGTCTGAGCGCAGAGCCAGATCTCTAAACACACTTTTGTGCAGTTCTCTTAGCAACTACTTGTCTCTCTTTTTATGTCTTAACAAAGGAAATGGATGATGGTCTCGACGAGGCGTTTTCAAGGTAATTCTCATAACTCCCTTCACGAGTTCAGCACGGGGAGCAGCCCCAGAGACTTGGCTGGTGGCTGAGCTTTTAATAATGCTCCTTAATCTAATCAGGGCCGTGATCTGACCTAGGCAGCTGCCCCATCAGTGCCTGGGCTGGTAATTGAAAGATAGGCTTTAAGGCTGCCTGATAAGCCAAATATTTTGACAACCTTTTAAGGATGGAGAGAGGCTGTGTGTGATAGGGAATTTAATTCCCCGAGCAGTTGCTCTGTCTGCTCCCACTCACCGAGGCTTTTTCAGGCTGCTGGTCCCAGCTTCTGGCACTGAGGGCTTTGCTCTTCCCCAGCCCAGAAATTCAGGGGGTGTGGGGTTTATTCCTGGGGTTTATTCCTTTTTCCACTCCAAATTGAAGGCTTCCCTGCCCACGCTGCTGAGCAAAGCCAAACAAACCCATTTCCTTTTGGGTGGGTTTTCCTGGCAGGGTTGGTGTGGTTTACGTGGGTCCCATCCTCCTCTTCCTTCTCCTCTTCCTCCTCCTCTTCCTCCCCTTGGGGCTGGGAGGTGCTGGAGGAGGGAGTGAGGCAGGAGAAGGGTTTGCAGCAGTTCCTGCTCAGCTCTTGGGGTCCTGTTTGACTCTCAGGGATGACTTTACAGCTTCCCCTTCCCCACAGCCTCGTGCCAGGGGCTGATTTATGTCCTGCTCTGTTCTCCCTGCCCCACTGGGGCTGCTTTGGGGCTGCTTTGGGGCTTTGTTCTGCTCTGCTCCACCACCCTCAGCCCCTGCTGACTCAGAGTTTGGGCTGCTCCCAGATCCATCCCTGCCACATCATCACAGCTGCACCTTTCTCTTCTTTATCCAAAACTGGGCCTTTTCTCAGGCTCTTTTTGACCTTGTGGCTCCCCCTGGACGAAACCCCAAATGTCTGAGTGACGCCGCAGTATTTTCACACAGCAACAACCCGGGGCTGCTCGGGCTTTGTGTGACATTTGGGATGAAAAGGCTGATTCTGGGGCTGCTGAACATCAGCTGGGGCTGCTGAACATCAGCTGGGGCTGTGCTGAGGCAGGGACAGTCCCTGTTCTGGGGCTGGGGGCAGTTCCTGGGGCTGGCTCCGGGGAGGAGAGCGCTGCTCTCCCGAGGGCTGGCCAGCCTGGCACATTCCCGGCGTGCCTGCAGGGGAAATGCTGGGAGAAGCCAGCAGCAAGGCTGCAGCAGGCTGGGGAGTGCTGTGGGTGTCCTGTGCCAGCTCCCCCCGTTGCCTTTTGGCCCTTCCTGAGCGTTGCTGGGGGGGTTTGGGGTGGGGAGGGCGGCGCTGGGGCGCAGCAGGGACCGTGTTTCACTCCGTGTTGTGTCCCCCCAGGCTGGCCCAGTCCAGGACAAACCCCCAGGTCCTGGACACGGGGCTGACTGCTCAGGACATCCAGAGTGCAGAGACTCTGTCCCCTGTGGACTGGAACAAAATCGACCCCGGCATGGCAGAGAAGGATGATCTGTTCATGTTCTGAGAGAGGAAAAGCCCCCCGAGGCCGTGGCCTGGATCCTGCTGGAAGCAGGGAACCTTCCAAGGGCTCTGGAGCAGCTCAGAGGATGTCACAGCCCAGCTTAGACCAAAGCTTCAGAAACCTAACGCGGATTTTTGTACCTTGCTCTTAGGGAAAGCACGAGATGCCCTTGGAGGTATTTATTCACAGTTTACAGTGCTGCTGGGAGGTGTGGGGAGAACCACGGCGGGAGCTGCAGCAGCGCCTGCTCCTCCTGCAAAAACAGCCCAGCCACCACCACAGCCCCTCTCAGCATCCCCCACCCAAGGGCTGGGACATAATCCAGGGCTCTGGAACAACACATCACCTGCCTGGGCAGGGAGGGGATTTGCAGCAGCTGCTGCCAGTGTGAAATCAAAGAGGGAGCAGAGCTGGAGCTTTTGTGTGAGTGTCTGGGGCACTCTCACGGCTGCCAGTCGCCCTGCGGCTCCCTGCGGGAATTGATGCTTTTTTAACCCAAAGACTCTACAAAGTTTTGCACTTTAAAAACTTGAACTGAAAGCAATGGTCCGAATTGTCAAGGTAAGCAGTGCCTGGAGCTTCTCTTCAGAAGCAATTTTACCCAAAAAGAGCCCACCCTGGCCATGCTGCAGCTCTGGCTCCGAGCTGAGCCCTCACCTCCGGCTCGACTCCGGATCCTAAAGCTCCCTCTCACCTTTAAAAACAAAACCAGCAGGGAGGAAGGATTTGTTTTGCTGAATTCTGCTGGGAAGGGCAGCTTGGGAGGGCCACAGATCCGTGTTCCCAGCCTGAGCTGCTGGGTTTGGCCGTCCAGGACTTGCTCCTGCCTGGAGCTGCGGGGTTGTTGCTCAGTGGATGGGATTGGAAAGGGCAGGAGCGATACCTGGCTGTGCCCACCCCTCGTCCCTGCCAGCTCCCAGGGGGCTCAGGAAGCTTCATCTACCCCTGAAACTGAAAATCAGCAGTGGAGGTGTAAAGCTTATGCCAATTAAAAGCTTAAGTTTAATGATCCTAAAGAGTCGCACTGACACCTCGCAGTGTTTGTGGCCTTACATGAAGTGTACTAATCTGTTTTATAGATTTGTAACTTGGGTTTGAAGCACTAATTCGTTCCCCAGATAGCTCTTTTAGAACTCCCTTAAAACTGCTCGCAGGGAGGGAAAAAAGCCTTCTCTGTCAGCTGTGAGAATTCATTAGGAAGCAGCCGAGTGACTCTGACCAAGATTTGAGATCTGTTTTTCCCCCCCAAGCGTGAGTGTGAGAAGGTGTGGAGGACTCGTGGAGCTGACTCATCTGTGCTCTGTGGATCCTGCAAAGTGGTGTTTAAAGCAGTTTTAAAGCAGTTTTAAAGCAGTTTTAAAGCAGTTTTAAGCAGTTTTAAGCAGTTTTAAAGCAGTTTTAAAGCAGTTTTAAGCAGTTTTAAAGCAGTTTTGCATCTCAGGATGGCTGTGCCCAGGATTCCCTGGATGCTGAGTGCAGCAGCAGCCTCCTGGGCTGGCAGGAGCCAGCAGAGCTCGTGCTGCAGAAGCCCAGCAGTGGTTGTAGCCCCCAGGGAGCTCTGATCTCCGCAGGAAACTGGGATGGGGTGTGAGGGTTTCTCTGTGCATTGCCCTCTCTCCTTCCCTAGAGGCTCCAGCAGCAGATCCTGAAATCCACAACACTATCTCTGTGTGTCTAGAGTGGGGTTTGTTTGTTTGTTTTTTGATGCTGTAAAGAATATTCTGTACTGAGGGGAATAAAAACTCTGCCGGTTTTTGGAGCCTCTGTGCTGGGTGACTTTATTTTCCCTTTATTTGCCTTTAATGTGTGGCATTAAAGGCAATTATTTTCCTTAATTTGTGTCTCTGGGTGGTTGGGCTCTGCCTGGCCCCGGTGTGTGGCAGGATGAGATCAGAAATGTCCTGGGGAGGCGATTCCAGGAGAGCTGGAGCTGGGCACTGCTCCCAGGGGATGCACAGAGGGATGCAGCTCCTGGCCCTGGCTGGCTGCTTTGGCCTCCAGGTGAGGCTGGTGAAGGGGGAGAAGAGGGAGGTCGGTGCTCCAGGCTCACCTGCACGTAAAGAGCGACATCAAACCCCCCCAAACCTCTTCACTGGCAGTTCTGAGTCACAAAGTGCTTTTACCTGGGGGCAGCTGAATTTGTGCAGTTTCCCTGTGGATGGAGAGAGCCCAGCAGAGCCCTGGCTGCTCAACCCCCTGCAGATCCTGCACCTGGAGAAATCCCTTTGGGTTTCTGTGCCACCCCTTCCCTCTGTACCACCAGAGAGGTGAGGAGGGGAAAAGATGGATTTGAAAAGCTCGGCTTTAAAGGCCACAGGCTCAGGGCAAGACTCCTGTCCTGGCTGAGGGAGAGGGGTGGGAAGAGCCTTGCTGGGATGGAGCTGCAGGGCCTCTGCTGCCTGCAGAGCCAGCAGGTGAGAAAAGCAGGATTTAAACACCAAATCATTCCCCAAACCCCTCGTTTGTCCCAAACTTTCACCAGCACAGTTTTGGGGGATTCTCCTTCCTCTCCCTCCTAACCAGACACTGCAAACTCCACATCTCTCACTTTCTGCCTCCAAGAGGGTTTTTTTTTTTCCACCTTTCCAGCCCTCACCATCAGCAATTCCTTCCTCAGCAAACACTCCAGCCTCCACAGCAGACTTTTCCCGACGTTCCCTGCCAGCCGCAGTTTCTGTCTCAGCTGCTCCCATCCCACTCCAGGCGAAGTTTTTGGTTTAAAATCCTGCCTGAGGATTCTTTGCAGCTCTTTGTGTCTCTGTGTTTCCATCTGCCTGTGCTGGTGCTGCTGGAACAGCCCCAAAGGTGCTGCTGGGCACGGCTTGGGTGAGCTCCGAGCCCTCCTCCTTCCCTGTTCCCAGTGTCACCTCCCAGTGTCACATCCCAATGTCACTGGGCCACTCCCAGTGCTCCCAGTGTCACCTCCCCATTCCCAGTGTCACATCCCAGTGTCACTGGGCCACTCCCAGTGCTCCCAGTGTCACATCCCAGTGTCACTGGGCCACTCCCAGTGCTCCCAGTGTCACCTCCCCATTCCCAGTTCTCCCACTGTCCCCTCCCAGCTCCCACTGTCACATCCCAGTGCTCCCAGTGTCACCTCCCCTATCCCAGTGTCACATCCCAGTGTCACTAAAAACCATTCCCAGTGTCACCTGCCCTATCCCAGTGTCCCCTCCCAGCTCCCAGTGTCACATCCCAATGTCACTGAGCCACTCCCAGTGTGACATCCCTGCTCCCAGTGTCACTGAGCCACTCCCAGTGCTCCCAGTGTCACATCCTCGCTCCCAGTGTCACCTCCCCATCCCAGTGTCACCTCCCAGTGTCACTGAAAACCATTCCCAGTGTCACATCCCAGTGTCACCTCCCCAATCCCAGTGTCACATCCCAGTGTCACTGAAAACCATTCCCAGTGTCACCTCCCAGCTCCCAGTGTCACATCCCCTATCCCAGTGTCACTGAGCCACTCCCCGCGTCACATCCCTGCTCCCAGTGTCACATCCCAATGTCACTGAGCCACTCCCAGTGTGACATCCCTGCTCCCAGTGTCACTGAGCCACTCCCAGTGCTCCCAGTGTCACCTCCCCTATCCCAGTGTCACATCCCAGTGTCACCTCCCCAATCCCAGTGTCACATCCCAGTGTCACTGAAAACCATTCCCAGTGTCACCTCCCAGCTCCCAGTGTCACATCCCCTATCCCAGTGTCACTGAGCCACTCCCAGTGTCACATCCCTGCTCCCAGTGTCACATCCCAGTGTCACTGGGCCACTCCCAGCGCTCTCAGTGTCACATCCTCACTCCCAGTGTCACCTCCCCTATCCCAGTGTCACCTCCCAGTGTCACTGGGCCACTGCCTGGATCCCAGCCACCAACCCCAGGTCTAATTAATGGAATAAATTGAGTAAAAGTCCTAAATCTGCTCCAAGGTGGCACTTCTGTCACTTCTCCAGCACAAGTGACAGCAAGGAATAAAACAATTGCGTCTCTGGCATTTTTTATTACTTTTAACGTGCTGTCTTTCCCTTTTTTTTTTTGTGACTTACTGGAAATTTAAATGATAATGGTATGCTTCACTTAAAGAAAGTATCCATAGCAACAGGAACATCTAAATTATTGCAGGCTGATCACTTCTCTGCTGGAGTCACATCACACTCCTTTCAAAGGCACTCCCAGAGGTGCAGGGTTTTAATAGACTTTTTTTTTTTAAATCCTTTTTTTTTTTGCAAATAAACAAGTGAATACACAGCACTTTCTCCATCACCTGCAGAAAGATCTAAAGTGAATAAGTGCTGGCTCAATTTGCTACCCAGAGAGGAGGAGCTGCAGGTTTGATCTCTAATCAGACTTTCCCCTTGGAGTTGGTGATTATTCCATGTGAAACTGGAGGATTTGTTCAGCTCCTGGAAATTCTCTGGGACCAGGGGAAAGCAGCAAGGGAAGATCTCTGATCCCCTGAGGAACGTCCTTGTTTGATTCCCAGCTGGCCACAGGTTTAGTTCTGGTTTATTCTTTCCAAATTCCTGCTTGACAGGACAAGGGGGAATGGGTTAAAGCTCAGAGCGAGGGGGATTAGATGAAATATTAGGGAGAAATCCTTCCCTGGGAGGGTGGGGAGGCCCCTGGAGTGCCCCAGGCCAGGCTGCAGCACCTGGGATGGGGGAAGGTGTCCCAGGGCAGGGAACGAGGTGATTTTTAGTTCCCTTCCCACCTAAACCATTCCATGATCCCCCAGAAAACTACTTCAGCAGCTGCCTGAGCTTCCACAGCCCATGGCTGAGAGAACACCCAGATATTTTGCTTCCATCCTCAGCGACTTTTGGGCTGAAACAGCTTTAAAAAATTCCTTCACTTCAATCACGGCAAAAGCCCGAGTGCTGCACGCTCCGAGCTGTCAAACGTGAGAAACAAACTCGCTGCAGGAAATAGAAAGGCTTCTTTCTCTTGTTTTTTTTAATTCCAATCTCAATTATAGGAATCAAATGCGTCATCTGGATCAATAGTAGGTTGAGATTGCTCAGCCAGGAAGAGTTTGGATATAAAAAGCTGCAGCTGAGAGGCTTCCTCCAAGCTCATGTGTTATTGTCAGTGAAATGATGACACCGAGCTGTGTTTGCAGCCTCTCCTGGCCAGCTGAGGGGAAGAGCAGAGCTTTAATCAGTGTCCTGTGTGTAGGAACAGGATCCTGAGCCCAGGCAGATCCTGGCATGGTCAGGAGCAGCAGGGATTTGCCTTTGATTCCCACTTTGATTTGAATTTTCCTGTGGAACGTTCCCGGGGTCCTGCCCCGCACCATTCACGTGGATCTGTCTGCACAGGGCAACGAGGCAGCCTGAAAACACATGAAATATTTCTAATCACTGAATTCTTCCTAGAACAAGAGCTGCTGTGCAGAGGAGTGGCTGGGGCTCAGCCAGCCCAAAGGGAAATGTTAAAAACCGGGGAAATGTGAAATTCTTGGGGTGATTTGGTTTGTGAGGAAGGCTGGGGGAGGCTGCAGCTTTTGGGAACGGAGTGAGGCAGTGCCAGGGGCCAGGTGAATCTTCTGTCAGCCACTTTCAGATCAGCCTGGCTTCAGGTGAGAGTTAAAAACAGAGCACAGGAGGTGGGTGGTTGGAGAGGGATGAGAACGATGCAAAAATTCTGCTGGACCTGCAGATCCTGCTTGGGTTTGAAAATCACAGCTCCCGTGAAATCACCCTCTAATAAAGAGCCTGAAACAGGAACCTGTCATTTCGTGGTTGCTGCATGAGGCAGAGGATGATCCAAGTGGCTCTGGCAGAGCTCCATGGTGCAGCTGGAGTCAGGAATATTTCCTGGGCATGGATCACACCGAAACTCAGAGCTGGGGCTCTCCCTGCCCTGGCTCAGCTCCCTCCCAGCTGCTCCACATCAGCTCAGGTCTCCCCCTCCACAGCTGGAGACCAAATCCACCTTCCCACCTCTCCCAGGAACCAAATAAATCCCAAAGCCACGGCCACAGGCTCTGGAGAGGATTTGTCACCTGTGGGACGGGGCCAGGTTTGATCCTTCACATTTTTGTTTGAGGATCTGTGAGAGTTTTTGGGGTAAAATGTGTTTGTGTGTGAAAAGAGCCCGTGCTTGGCTTTTAGGGGACGTGAGAGGCTGGGCTTTGTCTCTTCATGCTGGTTAAACACGGTGATGGTGGACATCAGGATGGAACTGGGGAAGGTCTGTGAGAATCTGGGTCGCTCTGTGGGCTCCCGTTGGTGTTTCCAGCTGCTCTGGCTCATGGAATGTGCTGGGAGAGCTCCTGGGGCAGGCAGGAGCGCTGGAGTCACCCCCCAGCTCTGCCAGCCTCGGTGAAATGTCACTGAATCCTTCTCTTCAACCCTCAGAGCCTCGGGAGGAGCCACAGGCTGAGCCAGGGGCTGGGAAACGTCCAGGGTGAGCATCCCTTGCCTCCCACCACGGCTCTGAGAGAGAAAATCTCCTTCCAATGCCCATTTCAAGGTGCCTGCCCTGGTGAGCCCAGGGTTTATCTGCTTTGGGCCATCTCAGGGAGGTGCTGGAGCCATCCCACAACATCTGGAGAGGAGAGGAGCTCCTGGCTGTGGTGAGAACATTCTGCTCTGCCTTTCCTCACACGGCTCCAAGACGTCACCCGAGCCACCAGGCCACACACAGCTCTCAAAAGTGTTTTTAAAAGATCATTTCCTCTCTCTGAAAGGCCTCTCCAGCCCTGGCACTGCACTGTATTCCCTCTCATCCTCACAAAGTTTGATCCAGCAGGTGCAAAACTC